AGGAGCTAGCATACAGAGAGAGGGCGGAGTTTGTTGTGAGCTGAAACGAAACGATTAGAACTCTTCGAGAATTACCAAGGTCTTGGAAGTTGTTTTATGTGTTAATCATGGTTGGTGGTATCGGATTCATTGTTTTTCTATTACTACGATCTTTTGTAGTGGAAGGTAAGAAAGAATACCAACATGAAAACAAATCCATATGGAAATCCTATCTTAACCTGGTCCCAGTTATGAACCTTGGGGAACTCCCATCTTAGTGAATATATTCTCCATTTCCAGAAATCTAAATTCTGATCCCAGTGACGAATCTTGGGGAAATCCAATCTTAGTGATATAGGTTCCATTTCCAACAATCTAAATTCTGAACCCAGTGACGAACCTTGCGGAAATGCAATCTCCGTGATATAGATACATTTTCCAATGATCTGAATTCTGGTCCAAGTGATGGACTCGGGGAAATTCAATGTTATCACATATATATATATATATATATATAAATTTCATTATTCGAAAGAAGAAGAAAGTTGAGATGGGCGTGGTGTAGATTCACCACTCGAAAACTGTCTCTATGATACGATTAGAACTATTTAGCTTGGCCGCGATGTTTCCCCATTTCAGATCACGTGTCGTCATTGCTATTTCTTTGTTACGCATGAGAAGACACATGAATATGGATACAACTCAAACAAAGAATTTTATCCTCAAGAGAATGAGACGTGTTCTGGGAAAACATTACGCCCAAGGTGAAGATCGGTGAAGAGGTCTATTCATGAGTAAATATGAAAAGTAGAACCACAGSGAGCCCAATTTAGATTAAAGTGAATGGTCAATATTTGGAAATTTAACTAACGTCCCACGTTCTTATCCCTGATCAACCTCCATGGAATAAAGTTTATTTAATCATGCCAGCTGTGCATTCTTGCCTCGTTTTTTCGTTTCCATGACAAATAACTGGCAGTTTTTGTTTTTGACTTCTTCAATGTTATACAACTATGTCCCCGGCCAGAGTACATATTGCAGTATTGGGCGTTTTTGTGCTAAATAAATAATTATAAATGTACGTAAATATCATTATTTGATTTGTTGGCCCAAATGTTTTTCTCCTGTTTCCATTCGTTCGTAGAGATTGATCTGAGCTATGGAATATTGATAATGAAGCCTATACGTGGAATGAAACCAGGTCCAAGCCGTAATTCTCTTGAGAACAAGATTCTTTGTTCGAGTTGTATCCAAATTCATGTGTCTTCTCATGCAAAACCGTTAAAATAAAAATGATACTCTAGGGAATGA